CCGCGCGCTAGCTCGCCGGCCGCCATGCTCTGTCCCGGAGGCCACCTCTCGTCGCCAGCCATTCTCGGTGCCGCTCCACCCAAACCGACGCCGGAAACGGATTCCTTGAACCCCAAAGATGCTCACACCCCTTTGAATCGAACCCTCGTCGTCTCATCGTGTTTTCCCCTTTTGCTCACCAGTGATTGCCCCCGCCACAATACACCGCCGTCGGCTCCTCTCGTGCCGATTTCTCTCGCCGCCACGCTCCCGGGGATCCCCTTGACCTTCCCCTGGCTGTCCCTAGTCCGCCGGCCTCCCCTCTCGCTCTCGCGTCGCGTCGCCCGTTTCGCCGCTGCCGCGCTCGGCCATGCCCCGCGACCCGCCACCTCCGCTGTGCCTCCCCAGCCGTCGGCCTCCCTCCTCTCCTTGATTCCCGGCGCTGCCACCATCCCCGAGCCCCCTCGAACCTCCCCGGCGCACCGCCGCGGCGGCCCGCCTCGCTGGTCGCGCCCGCGCCGTGCCACCCATCCCGCCGCCGCACGGCCGCCGTCGCGTCTCCTCTCCCACATCCGAGCCGGTGGATGGAACCTCCTTGACCCCCTCTCGCTTCCGGTGCCCGGTGCCCACTCCGGTTCGTCGCTGTTCGCCGGATTCCGCCGCATGCTGTCGGCCGTCCGATGCGCCGCCCGGCCTCCTCTCCCTCCCCATCCGACGTGGCAGCCACGTCGGCTAGACCAAGTCAAGTTGACTGGTCGTGCCTGCCCCTGTCAGCGCCCAGTCAGCCACCCCCCCACTCTCCTCTGGCTTGTGGGCTTGGCCCATCGGCCCACCTTCCCCTCGGCCCCTTAAAGTGAATAAAGTCTACAGTTACTCCCTTCTTCAAACCAGCCATATAACCAAAGATCATCTCTCCTTCCTTACCCCTTTGATGGCCCCATTTTTCAGTGACTATCAAAGAATATTCTTGAGAATATTCTTTTTCATAAAATTTAATAAATCTTTTCTTCAATCCAGAAATTCCATAAATCCTTTTTCCCTTTTCCATAAATCAATTCCTTACTCCCAAAATTCCATAAATCATTTCCTTTGGTCCCGCACGTCAGTGACGATCAATAATATTCTTGAGAATATTATTTCTATAAATTTCATAAATGAATTTCCCCTTGTTCCACAAATATCTTCCTTCGCCTAGAAATTCCAATTAAACTTCCAAAATTCATATCTCACAATCCGCAACTCCGATGGACTCCGTTCAACTTCCAGTAACTCCGTAAAATTGAGATCTATTTAATGGCACTATTAATTAGGCTAAATAGGATCTTACTTTTGGTCTTTTGTTTAGGTTTTGATTGTTTGCGTATAGTTGCGGTTACCGGATTTTCACCAATCGCGAGTTTTCTCGAAGATTCGTGAAGCTTCATGAAGACCTTGAGCAAGGCAAGTCACCTTTGATCATCTTGCACCTATAATTTAAATCTAAGTATTTCTTTTCCGCAAATATTGCATGAATAGGATTAACATGAGTAATTCGGCCACGGCTTGCGAGATAGCCTACCGGCCCCCAAATCCTAATTGTTGCAATTACCCTCCTTGAATTATTGAACACTTAAACCTCCTTTGTCAACTGTTGTGCTTCGATGCATGGGCCCTCAGGCACGCACATCGGAACACCTCCCCTCAAATTTAAAATATCCAACGATGGGTAAAACTTGGGGTTTTACAAAAGACTTGGAAAAAAAACCCGACACCTGGGTCGGTGCTTGCGAACTAAAATGAATTTCCAAAATCGCAGACCGGGGGACGTACTGGGAGTACGGTTTCCCGCTCTTGCACTTAAGGACCGTTTCCTTGGAATTTCATCCAAACATAAGGCAAGTGCGACCACATGGGTGGAATGGGACGCCCCTGGCTGAGTAATTAGCTAATCGGGGGAGCCATGATGCCAAGAGACATGTGGATTCAACGGGGTGGTGCCGGGGAGAACCCCCGGGCTTCCTGGCACAGTACGGTCTGGGACCTAACCTGATGTCGGTCTGGGATCCCTCTTGTTGGCATATGGTGAACCTGTGTCGGCTTTCGAAATGCCTTGTCATAAAAGCCTCAAGGTCTCCAGACGTGGCCGTTCTACACGGGCTGGGTGATCCGGGTTAGTAATGTCGTGTGGGTAAAGTGTACCCCCTCTGCAGAGGTTATTAAACTATTCGAACAGCCGTGCCCACGGTCATGGGCGGATGTGAGGTGATTCCTAACGTAGTTTTGTTTGACTACTGCTTTGTGAAACTGCTGTCGCGGAAAGGGTTCGATGTTGGGAAAATCTGCGGCTAATAGGATCAGCTAGGCCCGGGTGGCCATTTGAAAGCTGTTGGCCGGGTGCCAACCTTGATATATTCAAAGACTGATACATTGCACATACTCTGACTGGACGAGACGCACTGTCTCATCTGTGTCGTTTGAGAAGCACTCACTTAGTTGTTTCAAAAAGGAGTTTAAATAAAATCAATTGCAAAAACAACAGCCTTTCCTTTGAAGCCTGCAATAAACACTTAATTCCCGTGACTTGCTGAGTACGAAAGTACTCACCCTTGCTCTATATAAATATATATATAGTTCCTCCGCCTTGAAGCTGATGACGAAGTGAAGTGAAGAATAGGGTTTCGTCTTGGTTCCCAGCCGTCGCCTGTGGTGTTGAGTGTTAGACCGTTGGTTCCGCCGCCGCTGCTGCTGTTGTTGGTGTTTCCTCGTCCGCGTCGTCGGTTGCATTCTCGGGCTGTTCTGAGCTGCAACCTAAGTTAAGGTAAATAAGTCCTCTATTTAATTTAAGGATTGCAATGATTCATATTTGTCACCGTGGGTACCAGCGCTATGTCCTGGGACTGGTACTGTGATCGTGGTTTCATAGGAAGCGGTTCGCGCCGTTTTTCCTACGATACACTCCTATCAGGTGCCGTTGTACGGCGGTGCCAGATTGGGGTGTGACAAACGGCAACGGTGGCGATGCCGCGCCGGGCAGCGCCTGCGAGCTTCTAGGGGTACTACGAGTGCTACCACATAATCTAAGGGAGAGGAGGAGGAGCGGGGAGGGAGAACGGAGGGATGCTCTACTGAGATGAGACGGGGCGCTGTGACGAGAGGCCGACGGCACGGGAGTGATCTCTCCAGCCTCGGGCCGGGGAAGAGGAAGAAGACGAGCGCCCGGAGTCCCCTTCCGATCCTAGCACGCACCGGCTCCTCCGGCACACGCGACGGCGAAGGGTGACGGCGAACAGGGCACGGGGCGAGGCGGCAATGGTGGGAGGCGAAATCGAGGGAGATGGGTTTGGGGGAGGGGCTCGGGTTTATAGGGCGGCTATGTCGGTTCGGAAACCGACCTTGGGCGGTCAAGGAGCGAGCTGGCGCTCCGATGCTTGCGGCCAAAACAGTGGCAGAGGGCATGACGCCGGCGAGGGAGAAAAAGAAGAAAAGAAGGAGGGAAAGGAGGCTTGCCTCTTGCCACTTTGGGAAAAGAAGGAAGGAGAGAAAGGGCGACGAGGCAGTAGGAGGAGGAGCTCTGCCTCCAATTCTTGGAAGCAAGCGCGGTAGTGGTGGGGCCAGGTCGTGACGACGGTGATGACGGCGGGGGCGGTTTGGAAGGGCGTGGCTACAGGGCGGCAGGCGCGGGCTCAGGCGCGTCAGGCGCTGACGGCGGCGGCGACTGGCCGGTCGGCCACCACGGCGCGCGCGCGGGAAGCAACGGGTGGTGCGGCGTTTTGAGCGGCGTCGGCGGGAAGCGGCAGCGAGAGCAGAGAGGGAGGGGGAAGAGAAAGAGAGAGAGCGAGCTCTCTCTCGCTCAGCGCCTGAGCGGCGCACGTGCCTCGCACGTGCGGGCAAGGATGGAGGGGGAGGGAGAGATGGGCTGAGAGGGAATGGGCCAGGGGGAGGGGGATCCGGCCCATCCAAAATTAGAAGGAGGCAAAATAGACTTCTGCCAAAGGCTAATTTGAAGGAAAAAGGAGTTTGGAAATGGAATTTGACTTCGAAATGGGAATTTGGATATTTTTGGAGCCGGGCGAATATTTGGCAAGGTTTTCAAGAGAGGATTTGAATTTTGGAATTTGATTTGGAGACTTGAATTGGAAGAGGAATTTCGATGAGGGGGAACAACGGGATTTGAATTGAGATCCACGACACGACTTAGACTCAGCACTCAAAGAACGAAAATTTTCGCAATTAGGATTTTGCCGAATTAGTTTTTAACGTCTCACGAAAAGCGGAGCGTTACACCGGATTTGCTATAAATGTGTTGCCATATTTTTTTTTATAAAAACATAGTCAGCATGTATTTACATTGCAAGTCCCTAAAATTCATATGTAGTTTTAGTATATTTATAATATAAGTTACTAAATTACATACGTTAGTTCCTAAATTATTAATACATATATAATTACACTAATTACATATGCAACTACAATAGATTTATACTATAATTACATTTGATATATTTTTACTTCGCAATATTTTTAGGTAGACCTTTTCTTAATTTAAAAATCGTTTGACTTTTAAGGCGTTTGACTTTTAAATATGTTGCTATAACTCCCGATATACACACCACTTCCTCCATCTCATATTATAAGTCGTTTGATTTTTTTTCTAATCAAATTTCTTTAAGTTTAACAAAGTTTTAAAAAATATAGTAATATTTTCAACCCAAAACAAATATATTATCAAAATATATTCAATGTTAGATTTATTAAAACTAATTTAATATTTGAGATATTGTTATTTTTTTATAAATTTTATTAAACTATTAAAGTTTAACTAGAAAAAAAAATCAGACGACTTTAAAAATGAAACGTAATGAGTATTAATGTATTATACAGATTGTTTTTAGGACAGCCACCGATTAAGCCCGGGCGGTCGATACACGACGGATTTTGCCGGCCGTCCTGCAAATCGGCTGCCCCCTGCACGGGGCACGGCTTGCACCACAGCACCACTCATCCAGCTTCCAGCCGCCTTCGCGCACCACGGCACCACGCAGTTGTACACAGTTGTACGCGTCGTCGTGCGCAGAAAGTGGAAAAAACTCACCAGGAAAAAGCCCGAAAACCAATCCTCTCCATCCGCGCCGCAGCAGAGCACAGCCGCGGACATTCAGGTCCGCGAATTTCCCCGAATTCAACACCCGCCGCCGCGGAGCGGGGCGCGTTTAGCCTGTAGCGCCGCAGGCAGCAGCAGCAAAGGGGGGTCCCGCGCGGCGGCCGAAAGGGAAGACGAGGCGCAACAAATCCCCCCAAAAAGCAGAGATCCGAGAGAGCGACGAAGCGACGACCCGCGGACTGGAGGCAGGCAGGGCAGGCAAGCGGGCGGAGGCCTCCAAGCGGAGAGAGAGCGCGAGGAGGAGCCATGTCCGCGTCTTCCCCTCCTCCTCCTCCTGCCCCCGCCGACGCGGAGGCGGTTCCGCTCTTCTACTGCTACGAGTGCGAGTCCACCGTGTCGCTGCCCCCGCCTCCCCCGCCGCCGTCCCGCCCGCTCTTCTGCCCGCGCTGCCGCGGCGAGTTCCTCGAGGAGGAGAACCCTAACCCTCCTCCGGAGCCGGAGGAGGAGGAGGAGGTGTCGTCCCCTCCCCCGCCCCCGCCTCCTCCCCCCGGCTTCCTCTCCGACTCCTCCTCCGATGACGAGGAGGGCGGGGACCTCGACCTCGGGATGGGGGGCATGGACGCCGCCGCCGCCCGCGCCTACCTCAGCCGCCTCGTCCACCACCACCTCTACGACGACGAGCCCATCGACGTCGCGGCCGCCGCGGTGTCCCTGCTGCAGCGGAGCGGCCTCCACCAGGGCGGCGGCGGCGGCGAGAGCGCCCCGGCCGCCGCCGCGTCCATCGCCGCGCTGCCCACGGTCGAGGTGTCCGAGCCCGCCACGGCCTGCGCCATCTGCAAGGACGACCTCCCCCTCGCTGCCCCCGCCCGGAGGCTCCCCTGCGGCCACCTCTACCACTCCGAATGCATCGTGCAGTGGCTGGAGATGCGCAACTCCTGCCCCGTCTGCCGCTCCCGCCTCCCGTCCGACGAGCCCCAGGACGCGGCGGCGCCGTCTGACCCGGGCCCCGCGCCCATGCGGATCACGATCAGGCTCAGCACCAACCGACGACGCGTCCGCACCAGCAGCGATGCGGCTCCGCCCGTCGCGGCGTCGCCCACCCAGCTCGCGCAGGCCGTGACCGGGGAAGGAGGTGGTGGACCTGCGAATAGCACGGAGACTGTGTCGTCTGAGTGGCCACCGCCCTCTGAGTCCGATGCCGTCATGTCAGACGCCCGTGAGGGCCAGAGATTCTTCGATTGAACCAGAGCTTAGAGATGCAGGTATGTTTCAGTTGCAACATTTGTGTTTTAGCCTTGATGTTTGATTTTTGTTCTTGTAGTATGAATTGGATTGCTTAGTGAACAAACCACTTGTAGTGAAGCTGACTAGAGTATTCTAGCAAGGCTGTTGCAAAATTTCTATGAATGTTGGTGCTTCACATGTGTCCCTGAAGCATGAATTGAATTACTTAGGGAACTGCTAAATTGTAGTGGATCCTGTTATACATTCGGTAGCTCCTATTACAACTTACAACTTGTTCTTCTAGTGTGGATTTTCTGCTAGTAACGATTGGCAATAAGCTTGAATAACTTACTTCTACAATTTTTTGTACATTCAACCATAATAAACCGAATTTCAAGTATACTTTCGAAAATGGAGTTATCATAAGTGAGGTGATTTGTTTTTTTCTTATTGTTGATTATATAAGCCATGTACCTTTACCGTGGCTCATGTAAGCATTTAGCTGGAATTGCTGTTACTTTTGGCCTGTTAGTTATGTTGTTCTTAGTTGCATTCAAGATCTTCTTTATACATCATGTTGATTATATGTTTCATTCCCATATTTATCCAGAGTGCAATTGATTAGTGATCACTGAGTTTTAGACTTTGCACATTGAAACATAATGTAATAGCCACGTTTGCTTAGTTCCACACTACTAACTGGCTCATAGAAGAGGGTTAAAGAAATACACTGACTCTTTGAGTGGGTGGCAAAGATTTTTTTGAGTCATAAACCCACATCTTATAATACGAATTCAATGCCAAAAATCGGAAGGAGAATCATGCCACGTGGCAACCCATGTTTCGCGGAAGAGAGGCTCGTAAAACGATCTTGCGTGTGTGTGCACCCGCGTCCAGACTCCAGAAGTTTCTCTGCAAATGTATCGATCAATCAATTAGGCCCATGGGCCATGGCTCAGCAGGCCGCGTGAACTACGCCGTGGCACAAGAAAATGCTGGGTTGTTCTTTTCTATAGAGATTCAACCATACAGGGATGAAACTAGATATTGTAGTCATGCAAACATCTGGTACACGCTCATGGATGCATGAACAAGCATATTCAGTAATATGTTTACTCACTACTTTTACGCACAACCATATAGGCTCTCGTCGTTAGTCTTATATGAAATTAGCTACTGTCAAAATTTAAATTTTAGAAGCTAATTTTGATGTTGATTTTTAAGTTTTTTTTCATCAAAATTTATTTTTAACATTGGTTTTTAAATCGCTAAGAATATATAAAAAAATACCCATAAATTATTATAATTTTTACTGATATGCCGTACGGTGTATTATTATCCGCATATGCCCAACCTATATGGAGGCCAGAATACGTACAGCACAGGAGAAATAAAGAAATAATGATCGATCATCCATTAATGATGAACATAAAACGATATATATAATTAATTAGAAGTATATATATGTAGCGATATCCTCTAGAGGTGCTCCAACCGTGGATCCGGTGTACAGAAGGCGATAAAAGGTTACGGGAGAGAATGTGCTAAGACGGTGGAGTGAGAGGAAGAGCGGACAAGACCGCCATAGCTGAAAACCCTATCGACACTGGTACGAACTGCCCCAAAATCACTTCACCCCAACCATTCTTAGGGCTCATTTGGATTATTGATAGAAAAAAAAGATAGAAAAAGTATATAAATAGAAATGGATTATAAGTGTACAACAGAGAAATGAAAAACAAAAGAATTCATCAGTCGAGGGCATTCAGATTACAAGAATTTGATAGCATAGGACTTGTGTGTATGCAAGAAGAAAAAAGAATGAGCTCGAGGGATTTTTCCTGTGAAATCAGCATCAAAGAAAACTTTCCTTTGATTTTTCTGCAATTGGTTTCCACGTATTCCCGTTCACAATATTTCTTGAAAATCGTGTGAAAATTCTCTAATCCGAAGAAGCCGTTTGGCCTTGTTTGGATCGAAGAAAATATAGAGGAAAAAAAATCAAAGGATTCCAAAACCTTTAAAAAAATAATTCACTGTAGCAGTGTTTGGAATGGAGGAATTGAGAAAAAGAAAAGTGCAATAAAAGGTTCCCATTCCTATGATTTGGAGCAAAATCACAGGAAATCAAACATCCAATGAAATCTCTCTCTCTCTTTTTCCTATGAAACACAGCAGTCCAGACTCGCTTGAATTATTGCATTGCCACTGTACGTCTGGCAAAGCTCAGGCAGCTATTGCTGCCTGCCTGCCTCTTACCAGAGGAGTAAAGAGCTAACAATGCATACTTTGTTAGGGATTAAAAGAGAATAAACAGGATGCAATCAAATCACCAACTAAAATTTCATATGTTCGTCCAAACATCTATCCTTTTACAGTTCATGTGTTTTATACTTTGTATTCTTCTGTTACGTACGTATCCGCAGTCCTATGTTCATATTCCTACATGTTTTCTTTATGTGTTTTCCTCCGCAGAAAAGAAGAAACTTTTCCTCTCGTCGTCCCTCTATTTTAAATTGTTACCACCCATTAGACCCAATGGGCCAGGCTCATAGTACAACGGGTGGCAAAGCCACACGCTTTTTCTAGTAGTGTTAGTCAAGAAATGCAAAATGTTGCTTGGACGTTTTTATCAGGTATTTTAATATTTTAATATTTCAGGTTAATAGTGTCTTAGATTTGATATTGATACTTGTAAGTCATAATTGTTCTCTGATTTGTAATTACTGACTTACCATGACTGGGAAAGCAAGTTATTTGTTTGGAATCTTTATTTTATCTACTCTCGCAGTGTATAAGACAAAAGATGGACTTCTCTTTTCCATTCTTTGCCACGTAATACACGGTGTTTTAATATATCAAAGACTTAAAACGGTAGAGTCCACTATTGGTCTATAAACTCTTTGTTGACTTCAATTTTGGTCCTATACTCGAGACCATTTCCTATACATTTTCCAAGTGCCGAAAGTCAGGGCACATGATCCCATCCATGAATACAGCCTGGTTCTGTCCTACTTGACTGCAACCTTGGGGTCTTTGTGGCTCCTTGTTCTCTCTGCTGCCATGAGACACACACCTGTCAGTCAATGTTTTCTTTGTAAATAGTATACAAATGGTTTGGAGTTTGGGATGAAAATTGAACTTAGAATTGAGGGACAGAATTTGTTTTTGGAGAAAAAAAACCTTTTTCTTGTCAATCTTCTCTCTTTGATGTAGCATTATTTGAAAATGTAGAGAAGTTGCATTTCTTGCAGGAAATATATCTGAAACAAAGCAAAGCTAACAAAGTTGATTAGGATGAAATTGTTAGTAGAACAATGTGATTAAGAGCCTATAGAAGTTGGCATATTGCTATTAGAATGTTGATTATTTATTTGGCTTACACTCAGTTTGCATAAGCTAATCAACTTTAATCTGGGGGCATTTAGCTCTTGGCTACCCTGCAAGTCTGCATCTGAAAATTTTAAAAACTGCTAATAATTAGGTTTGAAAGGTGTGTTCTGTATGTACCGTGCACGTTGGTAGCTACTGGGGTTCTATGGATTGCGTGGCATAATTATCTATTATTTGGTTAGTGTCATTATCAACAAGGCTGAAGAGGTAGATTTTGCAGGGCTGACTTGAGGTTTGACCTATGTTCTTTTATAAGGAACTAGCTTGAGCTAACCCTTACATTCAACTATCCTTGTTACTTTTGTTTGTTAGTTTGTTCTCACCTACATCCTTTTTTTTCTTTCACATGCTTCCTGCACCCTAACATTTTTTCTCACACCATGCATTCAGCCACTCATACATGTGGTATTCTTTGGCTAAGAACTGGTATACCTTTTTTTTTTGCGGGAAATAAGAACTGGTATACCTGGTTGTTTAAACTATGCCATACTTGAGTTGTCGATCTATTAGGACCATGCAAGACCTAGATAGTCCTTGGCCAACTGCTTCAGGGGCATATGCATTATTCAACAATCAATGAGCATCTGTTTTTTGTTGTCCATGTCATATAAAGCATTCTTGTTCATCCAAGGATTTTTTAAAAAAATACTTGCATGTTCGATTCGATTCTATATGAAAAACATACTGCATTAGTTGTGCCATTAGCGATGTAAAATGTTAATAAAGTGCGGGGGGGGGGGGGGGGGGTCATCAAGTTGTGAAACGAATAAGTTCTGTCTCGTTGGATTGAACTGATATAGAAAAGAATAAAGTGTATAAGTACTTGTTTCTTAAAGAACCATTTAGTGGCATATGTTTGACTCTCTCCAAAGAACCTCTTAGTGACCTTGCTGTACCGTATATAAATATTATTCCTTAAAGTTTACAAAGTTCTCCACTTGTGCTCATATTGTTCTGCCATTTCATGCCCATTTCAGGTGATAAGGAAGCTGTTGTTAGCTGTCAACCAAGAAGAGTAGAAAGAAGGCAACCATATGCCCTAGTTCTTTGAGGTTTCTGCTTTTGCTTGAGCTAGTTGCCTCAGCAAAAGCACCTTTCTCGCCGGATAAAGGCTTATTGATAGATGGTCGAATTAAGTTGTCCTATGAAGAGACCAAGGGCATCGTTGCATTGCTTCTCAATACCTTGTACATTGGTCAAACTTGTTTCTTTTAGCAATTAGCAATAAATATATGTATACATGGTTGTGTTTGTACTTTACCGGTTACTCTTCAACTTGAGGCAGGATATAGATGAGAACCTACTGGTGTCTCCATTGCACTCTACTTTGTTGATGAATGATGAAGCAGCCTTCTTGTCTGAATGCGTGGTAGGCTGAGATTGGCTAAACAAAGGTCTGATACCCGATGCATCCCTCACTGATTCTATAGACTATAGCTGTTTGGTTGAAGCTGTGGCTACATCTCATTGAATTACCCAGATTCCCAACAATCTATGGATCGGCAGAGCATGGTACTGCGACCAAATCACCATAGAATCAGGCATGCTGTCGATTGTTATCTTCTAGTAGTACTATTTCGTCTGGTGCCTAGTGAAAATGGGCAAGAAACAGTTGCAAAAGTGCTAGAGCAGGGGTACATCGACATGGCAATGCTTGAGAAGGTAGTGATGCTGTCTTGACAGTCTTGTGCTTCCCTGTACCCTGCAATTCAGTCATAGCCCCAGAGCTGAAACTGAGCAATTCATAGTCAGTCATAGCCTTGCCAGCAAATGTCATGCTCTGAAGCAGTTTCAACCAGTTACTGTACCAGAATTACACTTTCAGAAAATTGTTCTCATTGGCATGGTCGTGCTCCAAAGGCCTGTCTCGCGATCATGATGGCTGCTGACATACAGAATGTATTATTTTAGTACGTTTGATGGAATTTTCGTTTCAGCTCGATTCCTTAGTGATGTTACAACATGCAGATGCAGTAATGTTCAGTGCAGCTCCACAAGCAGAAGCAACCATGATGCTGCTTTCCTCTTTGAACCCCTTTTCTTTTCATCGACATATAAAGTGACGAGATGGATATCGCATGAACTCCAACTGCCACTAGAAATCTTTTTTATTGACTTCGTCTTCAGCATGCAAGATTCTTCAGACAACGGCAATGCAAAGGTATTAGAGGCTAAAAGAAATGCTGTATTGGAACTAGGCTTATCAGTTCCTATAAGTGGCATTGTTATTCACTTGAAACTTCCTATCGTGGAAACAACAGATTGGTTACCGATGCTTTGGCAAAATGTCCAAACTACGGGCTTGTTCACTTTGCTATCATTTTTAACGTTACCAAGTTTTGGTATTGCCAAATTTTGGTAAGGTTGCTAAAATTTTAGCAAGATTTTATATGTACTTACTAAAATTTAGCAACAAACTAAATGTAGCTATTTTTTTTTAACTTTGCTAAAAAAGGTAAGGTTGAAAATGGTAGCAAAGTGAACCAGCCCTACCAAAGCAAGCCACAAGTCCACAATTCCTTGCTAATTAAGTCAATCCTATCCGTCCATTACTTCAACCAGTAGTCGTTCTTCCGAGCGTCTTTCCAGGCTCATACGCTCTTAGTGGAAGGTAAGTTCATAGTAGCACTACTCCACTCTCCACACTCTCCTTATTCCTTAATATAATACTCCCTCTATTTTAAAATATTTGACACCGTTGACTTTTTAGCACATGTTTGACCGTTCGTCTTATTCAAAAATATTTGTGAAATATGTAAAACTATGTGTGTATATGAAAATATATTTAATAATGAATCAAATGATATGAAAGGAATAAATAATTACTTGATTTTTTTTAATAAGATGAATGGTCAAACATGTACTTAAAAATTAATAGTGTCAAACATTTTGAAACGGACGGATTATAATTATGACCAGCTTTCCAACTTGTTTGAGGAAAAAAAACACTATACTTCACACTGAATTCTAGCCTGTCCGTTTGCAAGCCAGATATTTCTTGGAATCTGTCAAGTGAAAGCTCACCTGCTGTTTGAAGTCGTCACTCCTCAACAACACGGCAATAATGTTGGCAGGCTAATCTCCTCAAATTTACACGAGTTTTTCCTGCGGTTGACTGAAGAAAAAAAAAAGCTTCGCTAAGTTACGATGTGTTTTCCGTGGACAAGAACGAGCGATGGGATTCTGCTGCACATCTATTGAATATTCACACTGATTCATAAGTGATTTTGCTTACTTTAATTTTCTGGAAGCCAGATGGTCGATGCAGCTGATTAATAGACTGACGCAACCTGTGTACTGTGTACACATGTACTCAAAATTTCACATCCCAAAGTTTCATTGTCTTGCACCTGCAGGCAAGAATTTCTGGAGCTGTGGTTTGATTATTTGTTGCCTGTATTTGGATTGTTACTAAAATTTTGGTGGGGTTTGCTGGAGTGTTATTAATCTGGTACCAAAAATGTGTGAAAATTTTGACATTACAAGTTTTTCAGTATAATAATGTTATGAGCAAACCAAAATTTGACAATTTCAATATTTGTTAATAGGCCATAAACCATCCTTTGTTAGCTGGAATTTTGCAGGAAGTCAATACAAATTTAATGGGCCAACCTGTTTTCCTACTGTTTCTGTGTGTTAACTGCTCAGATTTGGATAGGGAAACTATGCTACTAGAAAAGAATCGACTGCATGTTTGGATTGTGCCAATTTGTGCCCGACCCATATTTTGGTAGCTTCAATAGTAATTTATTAGTATTTGGATTGAAGCCAAATTTCACCTTAAATAGGCTATAGTTAAATGTATCCTATAGTTTTGGCATCACCGACATATTTGGTATGACTTCAAACCAAATAAGCCATGAAGCTTCATTTAGAATATGGTGACATTTTTTATTCCTAAATGAGACTGAATTGTTTGCTGCGATTTTTAGTATTGGCTAATAATACCCATGTAAAACGTAGTAATACCAATTTTATATTTGTTTGCATTATGTTTAGAGGCACTGGACTACTGTACTTGATACTATCACTGTTCCTAACTTTGCAGTGTAAAGGCACTTTAGTTTGTATGCATATGCAACTGCTCCAACACATCATGGGCACAGATTAGATGTGATACGAATCTCTGCGTCTTTTTATCTAAGGTTCTATAGCCTCTCACATGAGAGGGGCCCTGCCATAATTTTGTGATTGGCAAGTTGCCTGATTTGCACTGGCTACTGGGGACAAAAGGCTCGCTCATGGTCGGAATTCCTCTTTGCTAGTGTCATGATTGGTGGATGTTCCAATCATATCCCTTTCTTTTCTTTTCCTTCCATCTTCGTTTTCGCGAAGCACACACTGACATGGAATATGTTCACCGTACGCCATGGGTACACTGCACTTGGAAGATGGGACACACACACGTCGTTGTTGAGCAAAATTCTGTGCCCGTAAGTGCTTTTGAACTTTATTCACTGTTAGAGAAATCTTGGTTCTTCTTTGGGGTTAAAGCACTACATTTCTCTACTGAATTCTGATTATGGTTAAACGATTGCAACCGATGGGAACAGTTTCTCTACATGATAGGATGAAATTATCTCAGTCTTTGCATCATATGACTGACATAGCTGCTTTTTAGAATCGGTATGGTGCGTATTGCTTTCAACCACTGGAGAAATGGTGTCAAAAAGATTATTCCATATTTTCATTCATGCTTTCAACTGGGACAATAGGCAGTAATGCGACACCCTCCCACAGATAGTTCTTTTCCTCCATATGGTTACACTAAAAATAGCCCCTTGCATAATTATTTTTTTCTCTTCAAGTTTATCATTTTTCAAGAGTAGGATATTTATAACAAAAATTCATGTAAAATTATCACGAGAACTCTAAAAAAACTATAAAATCCGCATGTTCCAAACAAGCCCTAGACTTGCTACTTTTATAAAACCAAATCTTCCTCTAATATTTATAGTTTGACAAATATATTTATTCTACCTTGTTCCCAAGCCATCTTCTTCAGCTTGATTTTTCTCAACTGCATCATATAAAACACAATCACCTCTATTCACGGATTGCACTAATTTCGCTTAAATTCATTCAGCGGCAGAGCCTTGTATGGCCGCCTGAACTCCATCACTGCCATCTTCATTACCCATTAGCAAAAATACTTTAAAAATATTACCGAGGATCAAGAAATAGCCTTTGTCGCTCGGGTTTGATGGTGTCACTAACTCCGCAGCTGAACCAATTATTGATTATATACCATTATTGCTACTCCCAAGATAAGCGTCTACCCAATAAGGTAATTGCTCCATCTAATCTAACCCTAAATAATGGGCGAAAGGGACGTAAAGCGATTACAGAGAGGGACCAATTAAGACAAAGAGGACCAAAGCTCAGCAGCTATCTACTCCAACCACAGTCCCACAAGCGGATGCCCCCGAAAAACCACCAATAATCCAGCAGTTGGGGGCAGATGCGGGTGGTGACTAGATAGGATGGATGTAACGCAACAGAGAGGGTGGTCCGGTGCTCGTAAGCAGGGCACGCACGCACCGCCGGGAGGATCGACAGGCAGCATATGCAATCATTCATCAGACCCGCGGTGCCGGCCGGCGAGGTCCCCATGCTCAGCGCGCGTCTCCGCTGCTCATCACAATGCCGGGGTTGTGTGGTGGGTGTGGTGGCCACTACGGCCACCACATCTGATGGCAATGGCTGCTGCCCAATTCCTTGGCAGGCATGTGCATGTACAGCTGTCTGTCTCTCCTGGACATTAGAGCTTGCAGTAATTCACCTGGATCTTTACGGTATAGGAGTACTGCTCAAAGTATTGGAGTGTTTAGAATTATATCCCTGAGGTAGATTATGATCGGTTGTGATTTAATATGATTTGGTTTTTCCTTATCAACCGCAGAGAAAAATTAAATTATAAACCTTAATTTTAGAGTGAATTTTTGGGTTTATTGTAGTCTAGTTTTCAACACCGACTTTTAAACCGTGAGCAATATAAATATAAAATATTTAACCATAATTTTTTAATGCTATATTCATATTTCTACAACTTATCAATTGTAGCCCGACCAATCAGTGTGTTAGGGGAAATAAACATTGGGTTCTACTTGGTGAAATTTTTCCACTCTCTTAGAACATGACGTGGATTTGTCATGCATATACAATTTAGGTTGGCAATTGAAACAGTTTAAGGAGATAGAATTATGGCATTTGCTTACTCAGAACATATTTTATAGGCAACTTATATATCTTTGTACTATTATACATAATGTTATAGAATCAAATTATTATAAGATTGAATTGTATTTTGGACATTTCTTCTTGT